GATAAATTTACATAAACATAGTTATCATGACTATGCTTTGTAACACAGTCTTGAGTGTTAGTTTATCACAGCTTTGAATTTAATGAAAACAAGTAAATAGCCACATTTTGGAGGAACTGATGAAGAGAAATGGCTTCTTAGGAGTTGTAATAACTAAAATAAACTACTGAAATAGTTTTGTGCATTTTCCGAAGACTGATGTCATTTTAGCATAAGGGCATGCCTATTTTAGAACATAGGAGCTCATAAAAACATTTGTCATTAAAATTTTTGAAAGTAATATTATGTTTTCAACTATAATTGTTTTTTTCAGGGATTAATTATCATTGTTAGGTGGGAATACACATATTAGAAAACAAGTAAATTCAATAATTAATGAGCTAAACTTTCAATTCAGGAATGAAAAAAAATATATATATATGCCAATAAAGTAGGAGTAACTAAGTAATACAGAGAAGAAATTGGTAAACTAGAAACCAAATAAAATCTAATTCTTTGAAAAAGTATAAAATAGATAAACCTCGGAGACTGTTGATCAAGGTAAAGAAAGAAAAATTACCTGTTATTCTTTTAAAAGACATGAAAATATTTCTGCATTACAGTGCAGTGATAAGACTCCAGGTGGCACCTGAATGATCCTTAGAAACAATACAAACTGCTGCAGTCATCCTTCACACAAAACACAGGAAATGTATGGTTAACCCAAAGTGGAGAGAGATGGAAGCTTTCAGACAAAAAGAAATCAAAATTCTTCTTTTAGCTTTATTAGGAACAAGCGCACGCCATCAGGAAGACTGAGCTCCACAAGTGTGTTCAAAGTAAGATGTGGTTCAGAAACAAGGAAAGATCATGAGCTTCATCCACTGACCAACCAGCTGGTGTATACACTTCAGGAAAAACAAATACAACAAAGAGAAACAGATCAAGGGCAACGATAGGTTTTTCTAAGAGATCAAGATCTCAGGTAATACAGACAGATAACAACTGCAGAAACTATCTGGTTTCATATTTCAAATCAGGACAGACTTGATCCCAGAGGAGAAACCTTCAGGGACCAAACTGCTTTGACTTTTCCTTAAAATAATATTACAAGTTATTTAATGTCAAGACAACGGGGTGGAGGGAATTGGAAAATTCTGCATCCTAACCCCAAGTTTAAGGGCAAAGGAGATGAAAAGGGCAGGATTCATGCTGACACCTGGAAGAGGCAAACAGGCCAGCTCAACAAGACTACTAGGTAGGTGAGGGGACAAGAGAACGGAGTTGTGTTGCTTTAAACAGCAGGGACCCAGTACTTTGTCCCTGAACTCCGAAGAATGGTAGAACACATGCCCAAGTTCACCTGGTTTAGGACAAATCCACTGATCCACTTCATGGGCAAGGAAATCAGAGGAGACAATCTTAGAACACTCCTGGAAGTTCTTCCTCTTCTTAATTCTTTGTCTACCTATTACTCTAAGCTGTAGAACTCCATTGCTGTGTATAGGATTACCAAGCAAGGTGTGCATTTTATAACTGTTAAAAAAATCAACCATTATTCAAAACATAGATCTTAAAAATTAAAGAATAATACAAGTTCACATGTACTAACTTGGATCTAAGTGAAAAACAAATTCTAAAACTGCAAAATTTAACACCTGTTCAAAAGTATAAGTTTCCTACATTCTTTGATTTATTTAACCTACTTTACATACACATTCACATCATCATCATGATGAGAGGATTTTCTTTTTAACCAAGTAATTCAGAAATTGAGTTTCCCTAATAATCAGGTAAAACAGTGAAAAGTTGAATCATTCAACACTCTCCCACAAATGCACCTGCTCACTTCTGACTGCAATATTTCTAAGGTTATATTGTACTGCAATATAGCCAACAATTCTGAATTCACCATCAGGCATGATTTAAACCTCCTACAAATGTTATTAGGAGCCTCCATTTGGGGCAACCTGTTACCTTTGTTTAGATTAATCACCAGCAATGTTTCTCCATGTTCTCTGGGTAGGTAAGTTCAGGTACACCAGGTACATGGCATAAAAGTGCTCCAAATAGAAACCATGGCATTTTGCATGAGTTAACACATCTGTAATCTCTCAAGTCTCCCTGCACAGCTCAATTCATCATCGTGCCCAAAATATGAGCAAATTAAGTCATATAAGTCTCCCCAAATAATAGTTTTTCCAGGGCAAAAGTTAAGATAGAATTTGAAGGACTAGATACTGTTTAATGGGCTGTAAAGGCATCCCCCAATACAAGGACAGTCTTCCTAAAATCCAACAAAAAGTGCAGGGCCGGTAGGGGAGGGGTGTGGGGGTGGATATCTGGGCATTTCCAGGCTTCTCTAAGGACAGAGTTGCAATAGGAAGTCAGGGCTGGGCTATATATACACGAAGACCCTAGTAAAGACCCCCAAGAACTGGCTTTGGGAGACTCAAACTATACTCTCTCTTCTGGGAACTATATATACCCTTTACCCCACCCATGGCAGTCTCCACTGAGGTCTCTCTCTGGTCAGACCCTTCTGGTTGGGAGACATGAACATCTGTCTGTGTTCCCATTTCTGTGCCACCCCAGATGCAGGGAAGAAAGGGGACTTAGTAGCCAGTAAAGATGACAATTGGGGGAGGGGCAGAAAGGTCAGAACAACAAGTGCCAGGGAATATAAATACATCTGGGTATAAAACAAAAATACTGCCAATGGGCAGATGAATACACCTATGAAGTCATAGAAGCATTTTAATAAAACACCACACAATTAATGGGATAAAGTCAAACAAGATGAATAGATGATGACAGAAAACAACAAGTATGAAAGAGCAACCCACACACGAATAGGAACACTTGGGAAAGGCTGAGCCTAAAGGAGTAGAGAAAGGCAGGAGGTTACCCAGCGCAGTGGAAAAGGAAACACAGTGCCAGAGCACTACCCAAGGCTTCAGTTCACTCCTCTTCCACGCCTACTAGTGACAATATTCAGCGCTTACCACACGTCCAGCATTTTCTAAGAATGTTATACATAGGTAGTGTCATTTAATCCCCATAACAAAACAAGCCTCCAGGATAGACACAAAGATGAGACATCAGACAGACCTGGATGGAATTCTGGCTCCCCACCCACCAGCAAGGTAACCTCCCCACTGCTGTTTCTTCGTATAGGAAATGGGGTAATCAGACCTACCCACGATGGTTGTGAAAATTAGAGGTAATGAACTTAAGTGCCTACCAGCAGCTGTTATTAGTGTAATTAATCAGATTAAAATAATCAGGAGTGAAGAACAAAACAAAGACTTGTAATTGAATAGAAATAGCAACCGAGCAGCAGTAATGGAAACAGGGCACAAAAGCACCTCTCCAGCGATGGAGGCTGGGACAGAGTGAACAGAGCCTGTCTTTGGCTCCCCACTTTGTATATCTGTGGGCAACTCCTGTAAACTCTCCAGAGTTTCAGTTTCCACCTCTATCAAGGGCAGGGGAGGGTATTAATATCTGCCCTTCCTGCGTGGCAGGGTTGTTGTAAGGACCATGTGAGGAGACAGCACCTGAGTTTATTGTTACAGACAAGGAGTTTACGTAAATGTGTATACCCTACCTGATAGATGGGGAAATCCACTTCCCCTGCTTCCACTTCTCAGGTGGAATTAAAACACTGAACTAGTACAACAATGTCAAAGCCAGGCAACTGCAGCCTGAAAAGTCTCTAAACAGCATGTGCCTCCTTTGGCCACCATTAATAGAATCTAATTAATTTTATCTGACATCAGGCTTACCTCCCACAACTTCCACCCTCCTGCAAACCATCTCTTCTTACCTGCTTTGTGCTTTCCTCCCAATTTGTGCCTTTGTTCATTCCTCTCTGGAATGTTGTTCCTTTTCATCTCCGACTGACCCTACCCTGGTCATCCTTGAAAGCCCAATTTAAATGCTCCCTTCACATCGTGAAGTGACTTCTGCCTCCCGACACTGCCATATTATCTTTTCTGAATTTGTCACACGACTTAGCACTTTCTTGTATTAGGGTCACTGGTGTGTATGGCATCTCTCCCACCAATCAAGAAGCCCAAGGCCGACAGGCAAGGCGTCTTCTCATCCTTTAGGGCAACCTGCCTCACGGTGCAGCACAGGATCTTTCCGAGGACAAATGCAGAAGACGTATGCAATAATGCATACGTGTCTTTCGACCTAATAACTTTTTGAATCATGACGACAGTAGTTGACATATTTTAAAATAAAAAAAGTATTTAAAATATAAAGCAAAAATAGCATAAAGCACCATGAGCACAACAAAAGTTTACGTGTTGGGGGCGTGGGGAATGCAGGTGAGAAAAGACATTCTGCGCTTCTGCTTTCCAAATGAGAGTTAAGGAGACAGTTTAAAAAGTGGGGTAATTATTTTTAAATATGCATCTTGCTTCACTGGCCTCAGTCACCTAAGAAAACGCTTCCTGGATAGTGACAGCCTCAGCCCAAAGGAGGGGAGAAGACAGGGTGTTCCTGTCGCAGCTGCAGGCACTCAGTCGTCCCCGGTCCTCTTCCATGCACCTCATTAGTCAGGTGCATGGCAGGGTCTGGGTCACTGCCAAGGCGCCTCTCTCTCAGAGCATCCAGGGCTTTAACCGTTTTAGTCTCTGTGCTAGCCCGCACCTCTCTCCCAGTGGGGGAGACCAATAAACCTCAGCTAACTCGCCTCCTCCCTCAGTAAACAGGTCTCTACTTTGGCAGGAGGCTGTACCACTTGGTGTCCGAGGCAAAAGCAAGAAGCAAATCGCTGAGTTTGTATGGACTAATAGTTTCGGGCTATTTCAAGGCCAATGTCCACTTAAGAACCAAAGCATGAAAGTGTTCCTCCCGGGGTCCCTTTGGAACAGAAACTGCTTTGTCGCCCCTGCCCTGATCCGCAGGGAGGTGGCCACCACCCAGAGGTCAACTCGCCTACTCGGACGCCCACCCGGGCGTCCCCTTCCGATCGCCTCCACCCCAGCTCGCGGGTCCAGCTCGCTCACCTATCTTGGCCAGGGAGGCCAGCAGGATCCACAGGGTGATCTCGAAGGGGATCTGCACGTGGGGGTAATCCAGGGTGAACACTGGCAAACGACTCTCCTCGAACGGCGTCGTTCCGGGAGCCACCACGCTCGCGGGGCTCGGCGGGCTGGAGCTGGAGCCCATAGCCCTGGACGCGTCCAGCAGGGTCTCAGCCACGGTGCCCGCCGGCCCCGCCACCTGCAGGAGCAGCAGCAGCAGCAGCGGCGGCGGCGGTGGCGGCGCCCGCAGGCTCCTCCCGGCGCCCGCGGGTCTATGGGGCTGGCCTCGATGCTTTATGAGCCTCGCGCTTCGGCCCCGCGAGCTCATTAGCCATCGCCCGAGGCAGCGTCAGGCGCGCCCGGCTGCGCACAGTGCCAGGAGCCGCCCGCCGCGGGCCGGTCCTGCAGCCGCCGGTTCATCCCACCATGGGCACACGTCTGGCCGAGCGCGCACCCTCAGCCGCCCTCCGCCGCCGGCTGCCGGCCCATGCCTGGTGCGCCGCTCGCTGGCTGTGAGGCTGCAGGCCCTGCCTCGGCGGTCTGCGGCGGGGCGGGGGGCAGGGGTGGGGGGCGGCATGGCGCTGGGCCGGGCGTGGAGGATGAGCACCTGGGTCAGATCGGCGCCACCTGCCCCAGCCTGGCGGGCGACGCGGGGCCGCGCCTTCCCCAGCCCGCACCGCGCGCCCGGGACCTCCCCCACCCCCGGAACCAGCCGGGTCTGGCGGAATGCGCAAGGTGGCCGGAGCTGTCCCGCCCCGGAGGCATGTCATGTCCTCCATGAAGGGGCCGGCACGCGTCGCGCCTTTCCGCAGGCTCCTGAGGGACGCCGGCAAGCGGCCATGCCCAGGCGCCGCAGGCCTGGGGTCCGAGGGGAGGCCGGCCCCGCGGGGTGGGGCGCTCCTGGCCCGGCCCCGGAGCCGGGAGGCCGGACACACTGGGGAGCCTGTGGCTGTTTCAGAAAGTTGGAGAAAAGCCTCATTTGTTCCCCTTCCGAGGGTTATCACATCGCGTACTGTACAGGGCACATTCTTCATGCCACAGCCCTGTCTGTGCCAGGACTTTCTCCCATGCCACTCTCTGTCCACCCTGGGTACTGTTTTGCTCCCTCCACCACTGTCGCTTCCCTGTTTTCCCTGCCCCCGGAATGAAAGAAAAACAGCTGCCTCTGTTTTCAGGCTTAGAGGTGCACATGTCCGAGAGCAACACAAATATAATTATTTCGTGAAAAGCCAGTGATTTGCCTAGCTCAGATTGACTCGCTCCGCTAATTACAGGACGGGTTGCGGTTAGGAGAGGGGAGGAAAAGGGAGCGCGATTCTCCTTGGATCTCCAGGAGCTGCCAGCGCCGACCGCCCCCTGCCTTCGGAGCGCAGCCTGCTCACAGGGCAGTTTTCCGCTTCCCTGGGTGAAGTCTTGCTGCCCCAGTATCTTCATCACCAGAAACTGAAAGGATCCATCGTCGAAAGCGGACCGGTCGTCATTCAAATAACTGAAACCGTTTTCCCTTCGATATTTAGGAAATAAAATCCTTCTCTTTTTTCAAATGTTTTCAATGTCAAAATATGATTCCTGCTACTAAGCACTCGGCATTTCAGAGTTTAAAGCAGACCCCCCCCCCCCCCAGTTCTAACATAGGGAATCTATGAGAGGTCAGCAGAGGATACACGGGAGAAAGAAAAGAAAAAAAAAAAAAAGGTCTCCACCTGAATAGAGCGTATAAGTCATCTTCAGACTTTGAAAGTTATGCAGGACAAGTCCAGGATAAGAGAAGGATTCTAGGAGTACTTCCGTTAATATAAAGCATTAGTGTTTCAAAAGTGTAACAAGAATTGAATGTAGGGATGTCCTATCTTCTTAAAGAGAATCAACGGGCCATTCAAAAATCTGCCTGCCTTCTGAATTTTCATTAAAAAGTATGTGCTTCATATGCCTGGGAAGAAAGGAGGAGCAAATAATACGTTTGTAAAACTGTGTAGCTCTATGTGGGGAGCTGCATGCAAAGCACTTTACCTGTATTTTTTGTCAATTATCACAAAACCTCAAAGAGGTAGACATTCTTCTATCCATTTTACATTCTTGTACCCCTTTTGTAAGCGAAGAATTGTCGATGAAGAAATACTTCAAACAAGCAAGCAAGCTGATGTACCCAAGTTTACCAATCAAATAATGGTCTAGGAGGAATTTAAGTCAGCCTGTCCGTGCCAGCACTCCCTCCACCTGAGGACTAGTTGGCCATGAATGGCACATTATTTTCTCCAGTGGTTTTACATAGAACAGTGGAGGCTAGTTTAAAGATTGCCCAGGGGCGCCTGGGTGGCGCATGATGGGTTAATCGACTTCAGCCAGGTCCGGATCTCGGCAGATCGTCCGGGAGTTGTTCAGGTCCCCAGGCTCGGGCTGACTGGACTCGGCCTGGAGAGCCTGTTTCTTCTGTGTCTCCCTCTCTCTCCTGCCCTCCCGTTCATGCTCTGTCTCTCTCTGTCGCAAAAATAAATAAATGTTGAAAAAAAAATGAAAAAAAAAATGAAAAAAAAAAAAAAAAGATTGTCCAAAAAAGCCACAGCAGAATAAAGTTTTCTTTGCAGTAAGCAAATCGGGCCAGTTCTACAAGTTTAGTGAAATAACAGCAGGGCAAAGGCACATTCAGACAATAATTTCTAGAAGTTTGAATCACAGAATGCTTTGAAGAATGTGCATCATAAACAAGAAAACGAATGACAAATCTATGTTTCAGGGATCTGACTGCCCATAGCAACTGTAGAAATTACAGACTCTAGTATCACTTGTATAAATCTGTGTTATTGTAGTTAAAGATTATCAGCTTTTTCTTACATTTAGAAAAGTACTCTTTTCTATAAATGGAAGATAAAGGACTTAGTTTATAAACAATCTTTGCATCCTTCCCCTAAAGCAAATAACAAAGTATCAAACTATACTCCCATGCTGAGGAGGGCCTGGCTGAGCCATTTTTCAAAGGGGCCTATGAGTCAGAACTCAACCCCTGAAAGTGGTAACACCACCTATTACTGTACACATGAAATGACTGAAGGTAAGATCATATCTCTATCAAATTAAAATCCTTCAGTGACTTTTCAGTGCCATTTGGAAAGATTAAAATCCTACAGTGGCTTACCTGATTTGACCTCTTCCTTTCCTACTACCTTACTCTATCCCATCACCACGAATGCACTGTGAACTCTGACCAAAGTTCCAGGCTCCCTCTCACCTCAGGACCTTTGCACATTCTGTTCTTCCTCTTTTCTGCCCTTCACATTGTTAATTCTTCCTAGGGTCTCTGCTTGAAGGTAGCTGGTTCAAGGATGTCTTACCTGACACCTACCTTTCTGGACTAATTAGAATCCCATTTTATGCCTTTGATGTCTTTCTATAGCTTTCTGTCTTAGCACTTAATCATTTTACTTTTCTCACACTAGACCAAAAGCTCTGTGAAGGTAAGGGGGATCGCTTTGATTAACTTGCTTATCCTTAGCTCCTAGCACAGTGCCTAGAATAAATACCACTTAGTATGTATCCGATGAAGGCCAGCTCTCCTGCCTTAGGTGTATAGGCTGCAGTCCTTTTCCTGACTGTATCAGTCACAGGAAGGATATGAAGGGTTCCACATGAAATGTTTCCCTTCAATGATCCCTGGTTCATATTTTGGGATCTCACATCTCCTTTTTTTCTTTCTACCCAAATGATGTGAAAATCTGATCACACGGCAGGATATGTAAATATTTTCATACTTTGGGGTGCCTGGGTGGCTCAGTGGATTAAATGTCTGACTATTGATTTCAGCTCAGGTAGGTCAGGACCTCACGGTTTGCGAGTTCGAGCGCCAAATGGGGCTCTGCACTGAGAGTGCAGAGCCTGTTTGGGATTCTATCTCTGCCCCTCCCCTGCTCTCTCTCTCTCTCTCTCTCTCTCTCTCTCAAAATAAATAAATAAACATTTAAACAATATTTTCATGCAGGGAACTACCTGATTTGAGACTGACCTTCACATAGGAGCATATGAATCCTCCCCGAGAAACCGGTGAGGCTTTTTCTCTGCCCTTTGACCCGACGCGGTCGATGGGAATATTATAATCCTGCAACAGAAATAACTCCTGAGCCATCCAGTCATCAAACTGGACAGTACCTCTGGCATCACTAACACTCACAAAGGACTTTGGAATTTAGCTCAAGAGAAAGTACACCTTAAAAAATAGAAATGTGAGTCCTGCAGGGAAGATGAGGATCATCCTAGTGCAAGGCTGCTCTTAAATCCCCGCCTCGCCCTGGAAAGCTCGGGAGGATCTGGGATTTAACTGGCTGCCTTGCTACCCAGAGTTTGGAGCTCGGTGAAGTCGGTAAGAGTTGAACCCCAGGAACTTCTGTGTGAAGGAGAAGGCGGGGATCTCTATAGCCTAGCAGACAACTCCAGAAAGCCTGTGTATCACCCCGATTTTTCAGAGGTAGAGTGGAGGCTGACCAGAGGAAGGGATCCGTCTGCAGGTGGCAGTGGCTCCCCTGCACCACAGCGTGGCGCCCGTCCTCTCCCCACTGGCAAACTGGCGACAGCAACGTGGGCTGCAGTCTGCTGCGCATGCGTGCTCCGTGCTCCGGGGACAGGGGGCGGCGAAAGGCTCCGCTCTAGGGTGCCGCAGAGTCCCTAGTAAGAGAAAAGAGTTAGTACTGACATTTCACACTATTTTTTTTTTTTTTACATATTTTTATAATATTCATATTTTAACTTCTCCTTCTTTGAAATCTGCATTGTACAACTACAAACCCTTAATGTTGTAATGATATTTCAATTCCAAATCTTTGATTATAAAGTCAGCCCTCATAAGAGTGTTGACTTGATAATTTTATTATTATATTTGCAAGTCTTGAAGCCTGCACTAGCTTTGTTTGTTTGTTTAAAGACAGTTCTCAGCAAAAACCTAAAGCCCACTCCTTAAAGAGCCACCCTAGCAAGGATCATGCAGTAGTGTGAATGTTTTATTATGTGCACAGAATTAAATGCTTCTCCCTCTCTCTTTTTAGCCAGAGATACTTGTTTCATTTCAGCAGAGAAATGTTTTGGTGTCTGAAAAGCTGCAAATTGAAGGTAAATAAACAAGCGTGGTACTTTTCATATTGAAATCTCCTAGTATATTTAAAAAGAAGATTCTGTCTTCAGATATTCAACCACTAAGCTTTGCAGAGCCTTGTTTTTCTTTTAAAAAAAAAAAAAAGACTT